TGGCCCCTGCTGCCTCTCCCCAATCCATTCCTAACACTACATCGAAAGGAAGGTCATCTTGCACGAGGAGAGTCGGGGAATGGAGAACTTTCTCCACCTTCCCATCCTTCTCTAGGCGAAGTAGTTGGATGACAGTCTGGTTGATCTCCTCAGCTTGTCCATTGGCTTCGGAGTGTCGACCAGAAGTCTTGTTCAGTTTAATGTCATAGATTTGAGAGGTGAAGTCCTTCCAATCTTTGCTAATGAATCTGGTGTCCCTATCACTCACAATAGTTTTCGGGGTGGCAAACTGCAGAATGTACTGCTGATGGAATTCTCCAGTGACAAGTTCAGTTGGGGCATGGGGAGGGAAAGGAATCAAGTTCAGAAATTTGGAGAAATGGTCCACGATGACCATGACTTGTGAATTTCCTGCCTCACTCACCTTTCCCATGTCCGTGAAGTCGATGGAAATCGACTCACCGGATCCATCAGGAATGGGGAGGGGTCTCAGCAGGCTATAAGGCTTGTGCCTGCGGACCTTGGTTTTTTGACATACCTGACATTCAACAATAAATTTATGAGCAGATCCTTTCATTCCTGGCCAATCAAACTGCTGCAGAAGACTTACATAAGTCTTCTCAAAGCCGAAACGTCCACTCCGACCATGTGCCAAATCCAAAAAATGAGTTCGGAGAGGCGCATGGTTGGGTACACACAAACGATCAAATTTCCCATACCGGCGGAACACAAGACCCTCGCATTCGTGAAAATTAGGCTGACTGTTAGGGTCAGCCTTGAGCTGCTCAAGGATGGGACTAAGGTCCGGATCCTTGGCGGTGTGTTCGACCAGATCCTCCTTTAGTTTCCTTCGGAGGTCATACGAACCCACAAGGCAAGTCAAGTATTCAGGATGGCGGGACAACGCATCAGCAACACGATTATAACAACCTTTCTTATGTTTCAACTCAAAGTCGTACACATCAATGGTATGCAACCAGCGGGTCAGCGTCGGAGAGAGATCAGTTTGTGTTTTAATCCACTGCAAGGTCTGATGATCTGAGTAGACCTTGAAGTGATGACCCAAGAGGTAGTGCTTCCAATGTGTGAGTGCCTCGCACAAAGCGTAGAGCTCACACATGTACGTGGAGGTAGCTACCTTGTGGTTGGGCATGCGTTTGTTGTAATATTCGAGCGGACGCAGGCCATCACCATCATCTTGTTGCAGCACTGCACCAATCCCAAACTGGCTCGCGTCTGTAGTGACTACGAATGTGAGGTTGGGATCCGCAATGCGGAGCACAAGATGACTCACCAATGCCTCTTTCAAGGTTTGGAACGCAGTCTCACACTTCTCACATCACGCATAGGCAACATTCTTACTTGTTAGTCTTGAGAGTGGGTGAGCAATGACATAAATTTTGGGCACAAACTTTCGGTAATATGAGGCCAAACCCAGGAAAGAACGCAGCTCGCGTACATTTGCTGGTTGAGGCCACTTTCGGATGACCTTAACCTTGGTTGCCTCCGGCTCAAGGCCGTTTGCAGACAACCGGTGCCCAAGATAGATGACGCTGTCCCTTCCAAACTCAGATTTTTTCTAAGTTGAGGTGCAACTATGCCTCCTTGAGGACTTGCAAGACCTCCTCAAGGTGCTTGACGTGCTCTTCCATGGACTTGCTGAAGATCAGGATATCATCAAGGTACACAACCACAAACGTGTTGAGTTGATGGCGAAGTACCTTGTCCATGAGGCACTGAAATGTGGCCGGTGCATTCGTAAGACCGACGGGCATAACGATGAATTCGTACAGCCCATCGCGTGTTTTGAATGCAGTTTTGTGCTGGTCACTCGGATCAACTTCAATCTGGTGGTAACCAGACTTGAGGTCGATCTTGGAGAAGACCTTGCACCCACCTGCCGCATCTAGCAGATCATCTATGCGAGGCAAAGGATAAGCATTCTTTCGGGTGATTCGGTTGAGGCCACGATAGTCAATACACATCCGGAGTTTGCCTCCTTTCTTTGGCACAAACAGGACAGGTGCACCAAACTCAGACTCACTAGGCCTAATCCATCCACGGTCTATCATGTCATCAATCTGCCTCCTCAACTCCTCCAACTCGCCTTGTCCCATACGGTAGACGCAGCCCTTTGGAGGAACACTTCCCTCTATTATTTCGATTTTGTGTTTGACCGGACGCTCGGGAACTTTACGAGGTTCGACCAAAACTTCAGGGAATCGATCTAATAGCTGGCGAATGTTTGTTGGGACTTCTGGTGGAGGATTATCATCATCTGGAGAAAGAAAATTAGATTGAGAATTTAGAGCAATTACAACCGGATTAGAAGTAAAAGGATTATCCACAGTAGAAGTAGATGGAATAGAAGTAGAGGTGGTAGAAGTAGAATTACTTACCGAGGTAGAAAATGCAGCAAAAGTTGAAGGCACATGGAGAGGCTTTACAAAAGCTACATGTACATGCTCCACCTCCTTGCGCTTGCGCACTGATTTGCAGCATTTGTTTGCACTTAGAAGAGTCACAGGGGACTCGCGCGTCTCATCCAATAAGACGGTACGCTCGTTCCCCTTGGCATCACGCACCACGAACTGATTGTCCGCCCACGTGGTCCTTAGGCAATGAGCCTTTATCCAGCCCAAGCCAATGACTGCGTCGAACAGACTCTTGTCCATGACATAAAAGTTGAGCTCATGTGTGACAGTGTGGTCCTTGTCAAAGGTGACGCGCACACCTTTGACAGCATGTGTGGAGGTGACAACCTCTTGGTTGCCCACCTAGGTCTGACAGGGGTTCTACAGTTCCACTTGCTTCATTCCCAGGCCCGCCTTACGAATCCCGTTAGGAGAAAAGAAATTAGTGGTTGAACCACTATTGATCATCACGAGGATGTATTGGCGGTTAATGAGCAGTTTAAAGAAGGTTAGCTCCACACTCCCTTGAACACGGCGTTGCTGCTTGAGCTGCAGCCAATGTTCCAGGTGAGCGTGGAAGTCAACTTCCTTAGAATCCTCCCAAGGCTCAGTGTATAACACATGGACTGCAGCAGCCTTGGATTTAGCGTCATTCCGAGCTTCAAGAGTAGGCTGTTGATCAAATTCAGGCTTCTTGGAGGGGCCTGCAACTGATGGTTCAGCTTCCCTTGTTGTAGAGAGTGTTGATGACTCTTCTACGCCCTTTGCTTGTTTCCCCGAAGTCTATAACAGTCCTGCACAGCATGCCCAGGCTTTTGACAATGCAAGCATATGCGCAGTTTAGATCTTCTTTCCCATTCCTTTTGACTGATACGGAGGGTTTCCCAAGGCTTGGTAGATGCGTCCTCCGGTTTCTCAGGGATCTTCACATTCTTGGGGAGGTGGACAACAGTTCCCCTACCTGAACCACGGTTAGGCCCCTTGTTTGAAGCAGTCTTTTTAAACGCATTAAGTTTTTCGTCTTCGTTTACGTCAGACTCATTGGCTGATGTGGAACAGCCCATATCGGGGTCCGGCTCTAGATCGTCATCTAGAGACAGATCATCCGCGTAGGACTGATCTTCAACCTCCTGATGTTCGTGTAGGGCAAGCTGGTTGCTGCTTCCATACTGCTTGCGTTGTGGTTTCCCACCTGCAACGGGCGCCTTCTTCCGCCTGGCGAGGTCCTTGGCCTCTAGGTTGACTAGATCCGTCATGAGGTCTCGCCAGGAGGTATGGTCTTTGAGTGCTTATAGGGAGAGGTATTCTTTAGGGGCCACGCCCATGACTACATCCATACAAGACACGTCGGTCATGCCCAGGTCTGGAGTGGTGAACATACCAGTCCAGTGTTGTTCCAAAGCTTGCATGGAGGACCTCCATGTTTGGCCCTTGAGGGCCTCAAGCTTCAGCCTAGCCTCGAGCGAAGCATGCTTATCTTGGTACCGTGCGATGAGAAGATCCTGAAGGGCGCGTACAGGAGTTATTTTCAGCCACTCGGTCAGGTCAATTCTTTCATAACCTGCAGCAACAGCTTGGACCTTAATGTGATTCCGTACGGCGGGCTCAGTATTAGTGCCCATGATCATGCTTCGGTCTTCTTGCGGTGTCCGCATGACCTCGAAGTATGAACGCATGGAACTAATTCAAGAAGTGATATCCGCTTTCCCGTCGTACTTGGACGGCAAGGTGGCCGCCCGCTTGTCCACTACGGGACCGCTGTACTGAACGCCAGTAAGGACTGTGGCGTTTGGGGCTGATGTCCTTGCATTTGGGACTATGACTAGTGCAGAACTGCCGGTGTTGCCGCTTGAGGAGCTGTCACCGGTTCCTGCGCTCGTCACAGTTCCACTTGCTCCTGCCATGAGGACTGTGTTAGATTGAGAGACTGGGACTGCAGCAGGTTGAGGGTTAGGAGGGCGGGGGGCAGACAGTTGGGACTGTTTGAGGCTGATGATCTCAGCCTGCAGCTCTTGGTTTCGCTGCTCCAGTGCTGTTACACGGGACTCAAGGTCTTCTATGCTACTACAGCAGCTAGCTTCTCCTGGAACCGGTCAGCGTTCGCTTCCGGAACCTGAAGGAGGGCCACCTGATCAGCAATGCTGGTGGCTCTAGCTGCTGCATCTACCTCCCTTTCCCTCTGCACGACATCATCATAAAGCTTTTGGAAGAATGGTTTCTCGCTCTCATCTGCTGCGTCGAGCATGGCCTGCCATTGGGCAGATGTGATGTTTGCCATGCCGGAGGAAGGGGTGTTAGCAGTTCTCTCAAGGGGGGTCCGCTCTCTCCTCACGTTTGGACGAACACTCCTTTTGCCCTTCCTCACACTCTCAAACAGAACACCTTCTCTCTCTTCCCGCTATCTGCGCACGTATCTCAATATCGGACATAGATAGTTCAAATGAAAGAAACAAGCAAAAAATCACATAGAGAAGAAGGTAGGACTCCTAGCCGGAGCGGCAATTCATTTGGACTTAGAGAATGGCACGCAGCTGAATAAAAGAATAAATAAATAAATAAATAAATAAAATAAAATGGAAGAGAGGGCTGACTTATAGAACGGGCCCGATCAGATTAGCTGGAGATCCCCTCTTGTCTAACCTTACAAGGGACATGTATCACAATAAATCAGCCGAAGAAAACTAACTGCAGCAATGGAGATTTCGAGGGGTGCAGACGGTCACCGAGTCAGACGCGGGGCAGTATGTGATAACATGCAGTAAGACCAGTCAAGATCCCCTTGAAAGGAATGCCCTTGCTAGCCGTATGTCCCCCAAGTTCGGCGCAGCAAAGAGATGCACAGGCGGCAACAGATTTGGGCCCAAAAGGTCCTGTCCCGTTGGGCGTGGTCCCACTGGATCCCGAGGGGTCCCAAGTAGGTTGTGGACCAGGTCCAACGAGATAGGGGTACCAAGTCAGTCCCAAACTGCCTCTACCGTACTGAAAAGGAAAAGACAACTTTCAGCAAGAACTTACCCCGATAGCCGTTCAGAAATGAAAAGACAATGCACCGTAGAAAGATGTGTCATTTAGATCAGATACATCATCCATCCATCCATCAGGCGAGAAGGCAATCCACATGCTCACACACACAGCCAAGACCGCGGAGAAGAGGAAGAGAGCCCAGCACACCCCCAACAGGCCATGAAGCACCAAGCAACCTCCCACGGGCTAACCAGGTCACACGGCACTTACCTGTGAGGCCCGACCTCCAAAGATGGATAACGACTCACCCCCCTCTCTCATAAGTCCTCCTGACGCCTAGCTACCACTACACGAAGTGTCCTAGCATGACTAAGAGGGCCTTCCTACACCCCTGTTGCAAAGCCGGATCCCCCGTCGATGTCTGAAGACCAAAGTAGCAACTTGCAGCTCTCCGATGCAGATATGGCAGCCTCCGATCAAGTCTCCCTCTTGAGGGGAAGCCCAAAAGTCACTCAATGTCTTCTTGAAGTGCAGATTCCAGGTGCGAGTACCTCTCACTCTCTACTCCCTCTCGCTTACTCCAATCAGCCTCCTTTGTGTCTCGCCACCCCATCCACTCACCCAAGCAACCTGGTCAAGTCAAATGTCGACTCTACATGACCTAACCGGGTGGGGGCAGTATCCACATACCTCACTGCCCCACTTAACCCTAACTTCCAACCCTAATCCGAGATTACGTTAGCCCTAACCTAACTCGAAATTAGGGTTAGGGTGATTAACACCTCTCGCCAGCAAGTAAGTCCGGTCCGATACCAATTGTTACGATCCTGGTCATTTCTCAAGTGCAAATTCACAATGAAAGACAATGCCACCCAATTGCGAAAGAAACGAAAGCACTTGCAAAGAGATAAAGACCAGAGGAGAGGGAAAGAAGAAGAAGAAGAAGAAGAAGAAGAAGAAGAAGAAGAAGAAGGTATACACCAGCAAGACCGATGACAATTCCCCCTTCTCTCTCCACCTTCCTCCTCCTCCTTCACTTCACCAATTTTATTCTTCTCTCAATAATAATAATAACAATGAATKGATGRACCAGAATCAATATCCGAAGTTCCCTCTTACTGCTGACTCAACTCAACAACAACAACAACAACAACAACCAGTCCACCATAGCTATGGCTTCCCTCCTTCAGCCTCCTCTCTCATGCATAGGCTATGGCGGACTAATGAGGGCCTGGGCCTGACGTCCAAAGGACAACCCAAAGCAGCTATGGTGCTGCGCTGATGTCCAAAGGACAACCCAAAGCAGCTATGCTGCTGCTGACTGGTCCGCCATGCCTGACTCTGCCTCGAGCTTCCTTGGTGCAGCGCTACCCCAATTGGGGCCTTCCAGATGCAGCGCCCAACAAGGTGATGAAGATGGTGTCTACCATAGCCAGGTAAGTGCCTCGCCACTCTCCTACCATGCCCCCTTCTTCCTCCTTCTCAAGCTGGACTGCTCGCCATAGCCAGGCTGAGCTCCAGCGGCCCTTCACCTCCAAGCAGCACTGTACTCTCCAGCGCTGCGCTCCATCACCATGTCGCCAATCCTTGCATACCGCAAATGAGGAAGAGCTCTTTGCTCTTCCTGGAGATATAGCGGCCTACCGGCCTCCTGGGCGGTGACTTCCTAGGCCGAGCGGCCTCCCAGCAACCGGTACCTCCTCCCTTTCGGAGGGAAACATCATTGCAGGCTCTGCTATCCTCCGTACAGGCCCTAGACCCGGGCTACTTGGACTGGTACCAGCCTACCTCTAACCTACCCCTACTGGGCCTCTAAAAATGCCAACTTTTTGTCTTCTTCTGCTCGGCCTCCAGTACCCGACACGTCTACCACTACTTCAGTGGTACCGGCCTACCTCGTACTTGAGTGTTTTTCCCCTCTGCTCTAAGTGCCGCGGGCCTACCCCTGCTACTCGAGTGTTTCCCCCCTGCAACCCTTCACAGCCACGACCACAGGTGAGTACCGGCCCTGCGGGGCCTTGCAACCAACAAGTACCCTTGCGGGTCACACACACACTCAACCGACAAGCACTCAGACAGGCATGCAAACCAGCAGGCACGCACACACACACAGACATGGAAATCACAGCAGAATGCGGGAATTTCARCAAGGCATTCATTCCAGCGGCAAATCCCAGAAATCAGCAGTGTTCTCAGTCTGTGTTTTTGGTGGGTCATTACAGGTGCCAAAAAGCCGTCGTCCGGGAACCCGGACGACGGGGGTACCTGACGTCCGGGGGAGACGTCGGGTCTCCAGACCATTGGTAACCTGTTTTTTTTTGTTTTTTTTTTTTTTCAAACAGAACCTCAGGGTTCTGGCTCCTTTTCCATTCTGGGGAGGATCAGTCCAGTTCCTATTCCACCGGCAAGTCAGAAAGGATTACAATAAGTACTCACTCACGCTCTCCCCCTCATGGTGTGGAGGCCCAAAGGGCAGCATTGATTACATCCCGAAGGATGTACCACCCTTCACCCCTGCCTAAGTTATCCTGTTCTATTGGGCATCTGCTCTTATCCTGTATTTGGTGCTAAAGCCTTGCTTAATGTGTTTTTGCCTGTAGTCTGTTCCTGGCGGTCATTTCTATACCATGGCTATTGTTTCCGGTTGTTGTGGTTGTTGGGGCTGGTCTGAATTCTAAGTTTTGCCTGAAGGTAAGGAGTGGTCTGTTTGGAGTGGGTTGGGAGTGTCCCGTTAGCGCGCGCTCACTTCTCCACATGGCCTTGAAGTAGGGGCAATTGCGACCCCTACTGGCGGCTGCCTTTTGACTGATGGGCAGCCCAACGGGCCTGTCTATTCTTTGGACAAAATTTGATAACATGGGCCGGGTCACCACAGAATACGCACTGACCCATGTTCACGTGTTCCTGCCATAAGCGCTGGTCCAAGCCCAGATCTTCCYAGGGCCTGCCCTGCGGCAAGCCTGGGTGCCATCCTCCTTGAGGCGCCCTTCCACCTCCTCGTTGTGGGGACCGGTTACCCTGGCGATTTAACGGGGGACCTTGACCCCTACCTCCC